ACAGGGATTTAGGACTGCAAAATGACATAATTGGCATAGTTACCAGGTTGTTTTCATATCAGGGTCGGGAGTGGGAATTTTTATTTCTGTAACAGAAGAAAAAAGGTTTGTGTCAGTGTCTGAGAGTAAATATAAGTTCTTTATTTGTCAGCAAATAACTATTTTATCAATAACCACGTTGCACTGTATCCTTTGGTATGGTGTATTAGCTAAAACAACATACGTGTGGACCAGAGATTCAATTCCTCCTGCCTTGGCACTCAGTTATTTTTTGTGACCTTGCATAAAATTCAGTTCTGTAAAATGGCAGGCATTCTTTAAAGAATGTTGATGCTCCAAACTCAACTAAATCTAGTAGAGCACCTCTGAAAATCAGCACTTAGTGTTAGAATTTTCACTGTTGGAGTGTTTCTGTATTTCTTGTTCTTTGTGTACATTTAAACAAACAATATTTTCTAAAGCCCTTTGAAATCTGCCCATAAAGAAATGGTTTCTCTAAGTGTAATTAAGTATTACTTAACCTTTCCTGTAATTGTATGCATTTTCATTAAACTTACAAAGGTAATCTTACTGGGCATTACTGTATTAAATATCTTCATCTTTTTCAGATCTCGTAGAAAATTTTGATGAAGCATCAAAGAATGAAGCTAACTAAAACATTAATAGTTCTGGAAGCTGGCATGGACTAGATTTAAGAAATCAGCTATGTGGTTCCAAAGTTTTAAAGAAACAGAGAACATCATCTGTTAATAGTTCAGTAATATAAATATTTTGTATTTTTATGATGCTGTTTGTTCAGCATTTTCTGTCAGTTGATTTTGCATTTTGCACTTACTCCCAGGATCTACTCTTTTGGTCAAAAAGAAATGTCAGTGCAGTTTGAGGGGTGTGTGTATGTGTGTGGGTGTACGTATAGTGGAGAACAAATTGGAGAACACATATTTAACCATTTACTCTTTTCCTTTGGAAGTAGAAATAAAATGAATCTTCAGCATCATTACTTTGATTATCACCAAATAGTGCACAGAGGGAGTTAAGATTAACATTTTGGCTATGTTTTGTGACCTGAAGGCATTACACCATTAAAACTTGGGGTTAATTTGCTGTAACTATTGTATTTGCAGGTGTGTTTCTCAATGTACACATATTTGTTATCAACCTTGTGTTGATCCCAGGATTTAGGGGAGATGAGCTGTTTTAGCAGCTGGTTTGGTACAGTAACTTTTTAAAAACTTGGTCTCATCAAAGTGTGCTTTTTTTAACCTTTTTAATTTTTTGTTGTTTAGGATTTTTTGGGGATTTTTTTTTTGTTTTTGTTTTTTTGGTCTCTAAAGTTTTGATACAAGCTGATATTTGACTCTTCCATGTAGACTTAGCAGTATGTTCTCCTGTTGGTTACTAAAGTATTTCCCAGTCAAAAGAAAAACACCTTGGTTCTCTACTGTCGGGTCACTTCCTAAGCTTGGAGGTCTGGTTGGTGACAGTCCAGTGCACCAGTTTTGCACAGTGACAGGTTTTTGCTTGAATAACTTCAAGCTGTTCTCTTGGCATGACTGCATTTACTAGCAGCTGATGATCCACTCTCATTCTTAGGGCACTAGGAACTAAGTGCACTGTGTGAACAGTGTTTAGGGTGGGAGGAAAGAGTTGTTGACACTTTGCCTTGCTTCCTGCTGGGCAGTCTGTGCAGTGACTAGCTCTAAAGGGATTTTTTTTTCTTTTTTTTTTTTTTTGCCTGTAACTTACCTTGGCCTATAACCTACCTCTAGGTTTGGTGTCATCTATGTAGTAGCTTCTTAAAAAACACATAAGCTCCTCAGGCATAAGGAGGACATTGGGAGGTACTGTTGGTACAGTGCAGTATTTATGACCTTTCTTTAAAATGCTTAATGTGAAGCCGTTTTCTCAGAGGCTCTTTCAAGGTTCTTGATGTAATGTGCATTACAGTATAGTTAGACATCATTGTAACCTCTGTCAAGGGCAGCTGTGGCTTACAAAAGCCACTTTGTTTTTTTTTCCTCTACATCTGTCACTTAACTATGGCTTAATTGGAACATATCAGCTTTTGGTGTAGGCTCATATGCTAGAGAACTGTAATAGTACAAGCAAACAGTCCCTGAGTTCTGGAGACTTCATGAACCCACAGAAGTGGAGCTGTAGTGGTTCGGCAGCTGAACTCCTCGGTTCATTTTCTAGGCTTCATTCAGTTTTTCCTGTTATATTTTATATACTACGTGGATCTTACTACAAAATAAAATACCAGTACAAAAGAGGAAATGCTCCCTCCTGTGTGTTGTCTGCTCCTCCCACCAGCACTGGCTGAGGAAAGCAGGTGGATGCAGCAGCTGTTTGAGGCAGCACTGCATTCTTGGTGACAGTGACCAAGGAAGACATGGGGCTAGGGAGGGTCCTGTTAGAGCTCTAGGATTTCACACTCCCTTCACTCACTCCTATTTTCCCTGTGCTGTTAAAAAAACTTCTGTTTGTTGTATGGCTGATCAGCTGCAGATGACTTGTTCTGTTTATAAGGAGGAGATGTCTGCACAAATGTGTGCTCATGGAATTGCCTTCTGCTGCCTCTGTGAGCCCAGGGAGCAAAGGAAGGACACGAGGCCACAGGTATTTGCAGCGCTCCTCCATCTGCTTAAGAGGCACAAGTGAAGAGCCTTTCCAAGCAGCCACTGTACAGAGTTGATATATGGGACATCCTCTTCCTAAATACTAATCAGATACCGAAAATTCCTGCTTGTTCATTCTGATGTAGGACGTATGTCAAAAGTAATTTTGTGAGACTAAAAGTAAGCCTTGGAAACAATGATGCCCTCAGTTTATATAGCTGAACTTTCTCATTCCTACAAAACACTGATTTAGTTTTTGCTCTTGAATTTACATGTTAAACCCTCAATTTTTTCCTGTGTTGACAACCAGTAAACCAACTAACTGTGCTAGCTTATGTAGTTATATTATTTTCAGGGTTTTTTTCACTGTCTCTGGAAACAGTCAACCACTTATGATTTGCTGCTGGAAATACTAGAGCTTATCAATCATTAAACTGATTTTAATTAAAAGTAGCCCATAAAGGCTGTTGTGGGAAAAGCTCTTTTTCTTTTGTATTTATTCATGGTATAACACAAACAGTGCTTGTACGTGCAGATGGAAATGCAAGGTTACTAAAAATAGTTTTGGGGAGTATTGGTAAATAAAAACTCCCCTCATAAAGATGAACACTTAAGTTCTTTGCTTGGCTTGAAGCATGGTAACCACCATACTTTTGAAGCCCTTGTGCTTGCTCACTACTTAACTCTGCTGATGTATTAAAGATACTGGTAATACTACTGACAGGTTAAATAACTTAGCAGTGACTGGAAAGTAGAGAGATGGAGCAGGAAGGAAATCAAAGCATCTCCTGGGAGTATGTGAGGGAGTCAAAGCTCAAGCAGTGAAAATCAAAGAATTGGCAAATGTGTGAGACAGCAAACACTGACCTTCCTGCCCTGGCTGCTGGTGCACTTGTGTAGTTCCCTAGTTTATGGCTGGGAAACCTCGGTCTGGCTGCCTTCTCTGAGGCAGGAGAGAAGTCTGTAAAAACCTGCAAATGTTTCACAATTTTCTCTATGAATGAGAAATGCTTGTGTGTGATGGATGCTGGGGTTACAATGCCAACAGTGGGGCTGGGTGCATGGATATCCCATGCAGACCTGGAGAACAAAATGAATTTACAGCTGGGAATGTTTGTAGGGTGGAAGAGGTTATATAAAAAGGACATTTAATACCCAGTACAGACCTTGGATTTTTTATTTTTAGCTTTTGTTATATAGCAATACTTGAAGAGTGCACAGGAATGATAAGGATGAATTTAGAACTGCTGTGGAAATATGTTGATAACTTGCTCATATTTGTCAACTTTCCATGGGAACTAGAAGTTGCTATGAGCTCCCTTCTGCCAGGATCTTCACAAATAATGTTTTGGATTTGGTGTGTACAAAAGGAGCCCTGGAGGTCTTACAGCTGATTTAATGAGTGAGCAGTAGGTTGATTGACCAGTGTACTTGTTAGCAGGAAGGAGCTGATGAAGCTATAAAAACACAGTAAGGCTGTACTATATATGAGATAAATCATGGCTCTACTGAGGAAGGTCTAGGAAGGATCCTCCTGAGGCTCCTTGGAATCAGAACCCACGCAGCTCCGGGCAGTAGGAATTTGCAGAGGCTGAGCAAAGTGCCCCTTAGCTGAAGGTGAGTGAGTGAATTCTTCCACTAGCACTGAAGATCAGTCTGCTCATATTATTCAAAGGCAGTACTGGTTTGTTCAACAAAGTGAGTTGTCTTTATTCTGGGGATCCAGATTTCACTAATTAAATGATCTCTGTTTTGTACTTGAGCAAATGAAGTGGTGCAGAAGAAGCACATCAGAACAGCAGCCATAGCAGCTTCACAGAAGTGGCAGCACAAGTGCAGGGAATGGTTATTTGCCTTTAACTGCTTTCCCATTAAATAATTTTTATTAATCCCTCCCTTTTAAAGACCAGTTTGCAGACATTGAAGAACTTAATGGATTTATCCAGAACCCTGAGGGCTGCAGTATCAGTCAGGGATCTGGGACAAGAAAAAACAGACTTGTACATCTTCCAGGGCCTTAGTTTGCCTTTAGTTCAGGAATACTGCTCTACCTCCTCTATGTGCTTTGTAAATTAATGAATACCAAACTGGATGTTTCTTCAGAGGAGCTACATCTCTGCAATCGGTATAAAAAGCTATTTCTGTGTGATAAACACATAGTATTTGGTGGGTTCTCTGTGCTGTTAAACTCCTCACTAAGCAACAGACCCCCAGCTTGCTCAGATGCTCAGATTTTGTCAGCTGTTATCTGTCAGATTCTCACATATTGGCATCTCCCTGAATTTTGCATTGCAGGTAGTTTTTTTTTTTGTAGCTAGGCTAAATTAGTTGCCTCTTTGAAGTAAAAGGAGATCAACTGCTCATTTAAGGTTTTGCATTGCAGGTAGTTTTTTTTTGTATCTAGGCTAAATTAGTTGCCTCTTTGAAGTAAAAGGAGATCAACTGCTCATTTAAGTTCTTGAAGTTGTGATATTTTTGTTCAAGTATGAATACTAAGGCAAACATAGAAACAAAAAACCTTATTCCAAGGCCTTTTGACCTTCCAGTGCACATATCCCAGCTGAATAAAAAGAGTTATGCAACCTCATGCACTTTCTTGCAACACCCTTGTTGCAGCTATAGTAACTGCTTATGTCAAAAAGTAATATTAGAAAGTATTTAATGTATTTTTAGATTCTGTCTAATGCAACTTATCTGATAAAGAAGAGCCAGTGCTGTGAGACCAGCTCTCTACAGACATTGGGAAGCGTGGCGCAAACAACATTTTGAGAACAGCAGATCTCATTTTGAGGCCATGTGTGAAGCTGGAAATTTCCAAGCAATGCAAATTATTGTCTAACAGGTAAGTGAAGATGTAAAAGCTCAGCAGATGTCAGCAGGATGCCAGACCTTGGCACACCAAGAGTGAAGTTCCCTGAAAAGCTTTCACTGATCTCTGGCTTTTCTGCTGCCAACAGAGCAAGGCTTTCCCAAACTGATGCCTGAGGTCAGCTGGACCAGCTTGCTCTGAAGCTACAGGAGCCCATCTTGTTGCCTTTGCCTCACCACCTGCCAATGAGCTTGAAACATTTGGGAGACAGAGTTAACCCCCTGTGAGGGAAGTGTTTGCAGGCAGGCTGGGTGGGGATGGCCAGCAGCAAAGCAGCCTCTCAGGCTGCACTGAGCTGCCTTTGAGCCCTGCTGCTGCTGGGGCTTGGCAAGACACTGTAGGGCAGCTTGTGCTGCTGCTGCTGCCAGGGTCACACAGTTTGGGAAGAGGGGAGGATGGGCCATATTGAAGCCTTGGGTGATAATGCTGTCAGCTCCTCTTAACTTGCAGTTTGTTACTGAATTTTTTGTTGTGAAATAGGGATTGTGTCCAGTTCACTTTGCCTGCACCATGGGCAGCCCAGCGTGCCCTCAGTGCCCTCTGCCCCAGCCACCCCTCTGCTCCACAGCTGCACAGCCTTCCCCGTGAGCCTGTCCTGCACGTCTCCTTCTAGGTGAACACTGAGTTACTGGGGCAAGCTGCTGAAGTTTTGATGTTTCATGCTGCAGGTTCTAGTTCATTGAAAATCACTTTAAAATTTACTGAGATATTTAATATGGAATTTCCACTTTTGTGACAAGATCTAGTTTCACATGGTTTCTGACACATGCTGTTGAATTGAAAATAACCCTAGTTTGCTTACAGCATTGTTATAATCTCCAGGGAGTAACAATGCAACTAAATTCCTGCTCTTTTCATTTTGAAACCTTTGCTCTATTGCTGGAGACTTGGCCTGCTCTGTGATTGACACTTGTAATTAGTGACATTTTGCATGTTTCTGAAAGCATGCAAATACAGCCTAAAATAATTTTTACTTTGAATAAGGATTTCTTCCCCTCTGTATCTTTAAGTTTCCCACAACCTGCTTCCACAGTTTGACTGAAAGACATCAGGTTTTCTCATGATCTCATGCTGGATATTTGGGCAATTTGCTGAGGCTTCCTTCTATTTTGACACAAAAGTGATGTCAGTCTTCTGAAAAACAGGGAATGTGGTATTTTCTAGTCTTTACTCTATCACCTTTCAGCAGCATGATTTCAGTGTTCTTGTAAATTATTAACTTTTGCACAGAGGGATGTTATTGCCTCTAACTCTTCTCCTGCCCTTTGAGTTACAGGGTTGCTTTCATTGGCAGTGTGCACTGAGAAATCATGTTGGCCACTTGCAGCCCTGAAATTGTAATAGTTTATCCCATTACACGGTGATTTTTCCAGCTCAGTTCTCCTGAGAACCTTGAAATAGGTTTTCCATAAAAATATTCCAGACACTCGTTTTTCTTTTAAAGGCTGTAGTCAGATTTGAAGGGATAATCTAGCTATTGTTTCTAGTGGAATACATGTTCTATCCTGATGATTTTGTAAATTATAGGGGATTTTTATAATGCAGTCTGGGTCGCTGAGAACTTGGTGAGTTCTTTGAACAAGCTTGCTTGTTCTTTGGCTACAAGCAGACAAATATCATTAGCATCTTAACTGATGGAAACTCTTCCATGAAAAATGCACACAGTCTTACTGGTTTTAATCTGCACAAGCACTTCCTGGATTTGCAGTAAACTGTAATAAAAGATTTAATTGTCTTATACCTCCATTTCCTCAATGGCTCACAGTAGCATCATCAGGAATGCATACTCACTGTGTTTGCCTTTGTGTGACTGCAGTTCTGTCATCTTACTTTCTCTATAGCTGTTGTGGTATTTTCTGAGAAACAGGACTACTGGATTTGACTGCCCTCACAGTGTGCTGATACTTTCAAACTGCTCAGGTCCTCATGTTCATTGTGGTTCAGGATGGCCAGTATTTGTTGGAAGAGAAAAAAGGAAAGTAGTAACTACTCAGAACAAGAATTCACTTGCATTGAATAAATATGGTGAGCAATTCTTTTTATTAGTTTCTCTGTTGAGACATTAATCTGCGTTAAAATTTGTATGAGATGTGCCTTGGTTCAATTTTTGCCCTTTTATCTTAACACTTAGATAAGCCATGATAAGAGAGAGGTGATTAAATACTTGTCCTCAATTACTCCTGTCCTCATAAGCAGCCCCATGAAAAATTACTGCAGGAGGAATTACGTGCATTGGTCTACTTGCACAATAAAAACAAGCTTTAACAGTTGTTCCTACCATATTTAAGTAATCCTGTTAAAGCAGAAACATTTGCAAGTTTTATACTTGGAATGTCTCTCTGGATTGATGAAAGCAAAATAAAAGCCAGATGTCAAAGATGCCAAAGAGCATTTTTCTTTTTCACCCCCCACTCTCTCCCCCAAGAGTGGAGCTTCTTGATGTATGTGCTGTTATTTACTGTGCCCTATTTAAATCTGTATCATAGTCAAAATTGTTTGCAAGGGTTCTGGCACTTTGAAATGGGGTACCAGCCTTTTTAGCAAACTCAAAGCATTCACCTGACTGTTTGCTGAGGTACAAACATGAACAACACAGAGACATCTCTCACTGAGATGTTGAGGAAATAGCTGGTCAGGCCTTCCCAAGTGTCTGACTCACAGCACTCCACAAAATCTGAATCATGTGATTTAGCAAGGCATAAATAAGCCTGAGGTGGTTTTTTATAGGCTTAATTACACCCGGTGAAGCAATGTCTTTTTGCTTGAGCAGGGAGTTGCTACACTGCTGCAAAGGCAAACCAGTGCCAGGAGAACAGGAAGGTTCCAGCAGAGCCATGGAGTTCATGGGACAAGCAGGAGGAGTGTGTGTGCCCTTCCATGGCATTTGGTGGTGGGGTTTGCCTGTGACGGTAAGAACGATTGATTCCCCGTTTGCCATCACTGCTGACTCAATAAATGACATGATCAAGATGAGCATGTGTGTTTCAGATTTTTTTGTCATTTGTTTGGGTCTTTTTCCCCCTCATATGGACTAGGGAAAGAGAAATGAACCTGTGGGAAGTGCGCATGCCTGCCTAGAATAATTACTGGTTGTATTTTGTCAGGAGATTTTTACATAAAACCAGTGACACTATTGTTTCTTCACTCAATTTTTGTGACTTAATATCTATAAGAAATCATGACAGTTTTGAGGGGACATTAAAGATCATCATCAGTTTCACCCCCCTTGCTACATTCCAGTGTCTGCAGGATTCTAGATTTGTCCAGTCCATGTCTAGCACCACACCTGGCAAATGGGAATTTCAAACATGTTTCCATGAATAAGGAGGCCAGCACAGGCTGGTATGTGAAGCATTTGCTCAGCTTGTACAACTGCAACCAGTGGGATATTTTCCACCATTAGGGGAAGGGGCTGGAGCCAGTGCCATCCCAGCCACTGCTTGGCTAATGCTTGGACCCCAGGACTGGCTGTCAAACACAGAAGGTGAGTGCTCAGGGGAGAACACAATGTTCCATAATTTTGCATCACTGCACTGTGTAATGGGCCTTTTGCCATCCCAGCCACTGCTGGGCTAATGCTTGGACCCCAAGGATTGCCTGTCAAACACAGAAGGTGAGTGCTCAGGGGAGAACACAATGTTCCATAATTTTGCATCACTGCACTGTGTAATGGGCCTTCCTGGACACTACCTCCTTTGTTAGACTGTTCTCTGTAAAAACACTGAATAAAAGGTGTCCCTTTACCTTAAACCTCCATGGGTTAAAATTAATGGCAGCTGGTTTTCAGTAGTTGTGAATGGCAGTAAAGTCCAGTTAGGAGGCTCAGAGCTTCTTCCTTACAGAAACAGTAACAGTGGCCCAGCATGATGACATGGATGACAGGATCCATCCCACACATACTGCCTTTGAAACAGACATAAAATTGTTGAATAATCACCATTTTGTGAAGGTTGCATTGAGGTGTTTGTCATCTAGCAAAGCACTCTTGTTTACTGGTCAGCTTTCATTTTTATGGCCTGTTAGATTAAATGGCATTTTTACCAAGCTCAAATCTTTTCTCAATCAAAGTCTTTAGTAGTGGGGAGCACTTTGAAGTCAACCTAGAAAGCACATTCAGTTCTTTCTAGTATTTGAAGTTCTTTGCCTACTGCATAAATTACAGGCCTAATGCACTCCCCTTACTCCCACATGTGAATATAATTCACGTAAATTATATTGAAATTCAGTCTGTCTTTCCCAAGCCTGAATTTGTTAATCACTTGGACACTGCCACAGGCATGAAACCATGAGTCTGCCACAATTGAATGATTAGATTTCTGAATGATTAGATTTCTTTCTTGTAGCCTCATACTTTTTATTCAAACACTCTCCTGTAGCATCCACTTCCATGCTGCTGTACTGCATAAAGTCCTGGCTCAGTTTTGGCTTGGCTGCCTTATTCAGCCAAGGGACAGGATTTTAGTTACTATTTTTCAGATGCTCAGCTTCTTGCAAACTATAGGGGGAGATGTTTGCTCATCAGGTTTTTTTCACAGTGTGAAGCACTCATTTTCCTTGGAAGAAAACAAAAATCCAGCCAGCAAACAATATTTTTCTGTGTGTCCAATGAAAGAACCCCCGCGTTGCCAAAGGGAGAATGAAGGAGAGGGACTGCTCTTTGTTTCAGTTTCAAGATGTTTGGCTTCCTTCTGCAGATGGGTACTACTCTTATCCTTTGGTGCTTGGAAATATGACCTTTCCATCCAGACTGCCTTTCACTTTATTCCTTTTTTTGTTCTGCTACAATTTATATAAAACTGTTATATAATTAATAGAGAATAATTTGTTTAATAAAAAACTATAAAACCCTATAAAGAAAATAAAGGATTTGGTATCAGATACAACAAATGGGTGAATAAATTCCTTCGTTTTTAAGTTTATAGCGACATTGTTCCCTTTACTGAGAATTTTCTTTCATGTCATGTGTGGTACTTTAGAATCAGTGAAGGTGACTTATTTCTAAATTAAAAACCCCTTTTTTTCTAAGCCTTTTCCTGCTTTACAGTTGCCTGTATTGTAGCAGCCCGGAGGGAAGGTGCTAATGTTGGAGCCAGGCCCTGTGTGTACCTGCACAGAGCACAGTCACTTCAGGCTCCTGTTTTATAACACTTCAAAATTATATCAATTTCAGAAAAATAGTTTTGATGTCATGTGAATGTGATCTTCAGAGAGTAAATTAAATGGGTTATAACTGTCTTCCCTAGTGAATTTATGGCATGGGGAATTTCAGGTCAGCTCAGCTGACTGCCTCATTTTTTAAAGCGTTTCACTATGGGTTCTACATTTTCAGTTAAGCTGTTGCTATTTAAAAAGATGACTTCCATGTCATTTGCAAAGCATGTAGAAGCTGGAGGCAATTCAGCATTTTGACACTCTTAATTAACTGATGGCCTGTCATGAAAGCAGGTTGTAATTAAATGATATAGTAATTTTGGCCGTGCTGCCTTCCAAACTATTTTTATATCTCAGCAGAATAATTCAGGTGGTGACATCATGTCAGTATATGTGCTTCTCCTTCCTCAGTGCCTGCTCAGGAATTGTTACTCATGGTTTAAAGTAGCTTTAAGAAAATAAATTCCGGCCAGTTCTTGGTGAAAAAGGAAATAGAAATTTTTTAAATTTCCTGTCACACACTGTGGCCTGTTATCCTGTCAGGGTCTGTGAAGGTGACTTGTAATATGTGACAACCTACATGTCCTGTGAAAGAGACTCACACATTCAGGGTTTCTAGGGCAATCCAGATGGGCTCATGAAAAATGGTGGAAGAAAAAGGTAATTTTGATGGCTACAGAGCCTGAGCCTTGGGATGCTGGTAATTATTTGAGTAAGATTGTATTTGGATTTGGGCCCAAAGTATTTTTGACTGTAATCATAATGAAGATTATGCTGTCTTCAACTAGAGGGGTGGATGTTGAAATGGGAGTGCTTTTACTGGATAAGCAGCCCGTTTTATGTAGGTGTTCCAGGATGGACATGTCCCTAACACAGCCTGACAGTGTTACTATTCACAAATGAGTGGGATTTGTCAGGAGCCTGTAATACCCTCTGCATTTTGAGCCAGGTTCTTTTGATGTCCATTTTCTGATGTGCTGCCCTGGGGAGATCTGCCATCTATTCATCTATTCAATCCTTTAATAACATCCCCTGTGCCAGGAACATCAGAATGCTGAACGCCGGGACTGAGACGTTACTGTGACTATGCTGAAGATCCTTGCTTGGTGTACGATGAAACAATCTTTGGGGAATAAGTGAAACAAAAGAGTGTGTAGGATATCCTTTAATTCAATGAGGAATGTGGGTGGAGAAGTAATTGAAATGAACAAGATGCTTTGGATTTTCGTAAATGCCTTAAATACTTCAGGGTGTGCTTAAAGCTTTGTGTGTGAACCATTTCACTGCTCCAAGAGCTGATGAAAGCAGGAGCCCATGTAAAGAGCAGCCCATGTTTTTAACCATTCTTTACCTGCCCCACATCACACCTTTTCCCTGAGGTATGAGCCCTGCATTCCCTGTGACATTTCTGATAGAGGAGAAATAACCCTATGAAGAATTTTAGGCCTGTGTGTGGCTGACTGACAGCCACCTGCTGCTGAAAGCTACTGCAGTGGCTGCCTTCCCTCTCCGTGCCCTCAGCAGTGGCAGCTGTTTTTGGCCCTCCCCTGCAGAAGTCACCACTTGCCTCAGTCAAGTGTGGTTGAATTAGAGCAACATATTCCTGAGTTATTTCAGAAACAAAGATGTGCCTGCAATCTGCAGCACAGGTGTGTGAGCCTTTCTCCTTTGGAAGACAGCCTCAAATATTCTGTGCACAAAGAGTGGTGGTTGTGATGCCCACTGCACCCACTGTCATTGAGGAGCAGTAGGGAGGAAAAGACCCAGATGCTAAGAGCAGATAAGCCAAGAAAGTGTTTAGAAAATGAGGCCTGCCAGATTCTTTCAAGAATAAAATCCCTTTTGCTGGAGTTTTGACTCAGTCACACCTTGAATGATTTAATTACCAAAATCATTAACCAGAGCTTGAGAGACATGTATGTCCATGCATAGCAGCTATTCATCTATCTCCAGTGCAACAAAGAAGGGAAATGCTTAAGATAACAATGAGCCAACTACATCTATCACTTCCTTTCAAGTTTCAGTTCCTCCCTAAAGAAAACTCAGCTCTTCCTTTGAATTTACAATGACCTAAAGAATAAACTCATATATAGATATTAGATCAAACCCTTCACATAAGCACTGAAAAGAAAAAAAAAAATAAAAAAGGTACTGTAGATGAAGGTTTTGTTTACTTATATCGTCAACAAAACAAAACAAACCAGACTGGAAATATGTAACTGCATGGCCATAGACAAGTTGACAGCGCTACACTTGGACTGAAAACTTTGTGTGAAACATATTTCCTACCTCCAACAGAAACTGTGAGCTTCATTGAAGATGTGTGTCCTCACTGTTCCTGCTGTCCCTCATCCTCTGCCTTCCTTTGCCCCAGCACTCACTGGGCTCCTTCTCTCTGCATCCTTCCTTCTCTGACCGAGACCAGCAGCTTTCCCTCTTCTCCCTCAGGTTCACAGACCTGCAGATCTAGAGGAATTGGTGACAGAAATAATGAGAAGAAATGATATTATAGCATTCCCCCTCAGGGCCCCAGTGCTGCACACTGATGGCCCCAGTGAGGCACAGAGATGGGATGCATCCCTGTTTGCTGTGCTCTGGCAGCACAGGCTATACAAGGAGTCAGAGGTAGCACTTTCTGACCTTCATCTGTTTGTTTTGTCTTTTTTCCCACCTTGACTTCGATTTCTATTTGGGTGCCTTCCACACAACCACAGAACAGCAGAGCTTCTCTAACTTGGTGCCACAACCCCCTCAGCTCTGCCCATAACCCCCACCCTGTCAATAGGGATAGGACTGAGGAATTAAAAGCTGAAAATGACACC